CTAATCTATATAATTGTTAAAAAACAAATAAATAAAATAGTTACATTTAATTTTGTGACACTCAGCTAATAGCTTATTGGATGGACCGCTGCAGCTGTACTGTGACTTTAAAAGTGACTCTTGAGATCACATTTCACATCACAACATCACGTCCGTATTAATAAATCTTCCAGCTCTAATAACAGCATCGCACTGAACCACAAGTTCTGCTGTCCTCAGCATTTTTTTTTCTGGAGTCTAAAGGCCTTTTGTACACTCGCTGCGTTCAAGTGCTTTACTTGTTGGCCGTCTTAAAGGCTTCTAATGTGAAGCAGCATTCACATGACGTGGTTCTGAGGTAATCGCAGAGGGTCAGCTTGTTCTCTGTCACTCTATCTGAAACGGTGTTTAAACAGTTTAACACAGGAACCGTGTGTAAACATACAGACAGTCAAGTCTCCGTCGGACTGACTGTTAACCTGCCGGAGAGGACGATGCTTCTTCTCTTGTTCGTGCTGACTCGTACGTTTCTCCCTCAGATGGTCCTTACGGCATTTTCGCGGGCCGGGATGCTTCGCGGGGCCTGGCCACCTTCTGCCTGGAGAAAGACGCCCTGTGGGACGAGTACGACGACCTGTCGGACCTCAACGCTGTACAGATGGAGAGCGTGAGGGAGTGGGAGATGCAGTTCATGGGTAGGCTCCTGAACTCATGTTTCCACACAGGGGAAGAAGAAATGCTCCACAGATCATTCACGTGGCTCAGATTTCACAGATGCATCCACAGAGTTTATGGCCTCTCCCACAGGGCCTCTGTGTATTTAGTCCGATCAAACCGAGGATCCAAAACACACGTTTTTACAGTTCGAACAACATCCTGTACTTTTTCAACATACTTTAACCTTAAACTACCTCAAAGCTGGTGTTTTATTTCAAAGTCAAGAGTCCCGTTCTGAATCCTGAGTCTGGTTTTGTCCTGAAACATGTCGGTTCTCTGCTTCCTTAAATAACCTCCGGATACTTGCAGATAAGACGTTTAAAGCTGGAAAGCTTTAGAAGTTGGCGGCCTCAAAGGTTGTCTGATTAAACGATGTAAGAAGATGTCAGTGAATTACTCGCAGCATGTTGTTCCCCGAGTCCACATTCCTCCCTGACTTTTGATTCGTCAATCATCATAAATAAGCAACTGTTTTCATCATGAATCGCATGTTTGAGGAGTCGTTCGATCACAAATGCAAAACTAAATTTGCTCGTTCCAGCTTCAGAAATGTTCTTTCTGTTTATCATCGTGAACTGAATACATTTGCGGTTCAAACTGTTTGTTGATTTTGCTCCCGTAGTTGTGCCTACGGTGTAGAAATGTGATACCTCTGAATTGTAAGTCGCTTTGGATAAAAGCGTCTGCTAAATGACTAATGTAATGTAATGTTGTTGGACAAAAATAAGCCACCGTGTCACTTTCTACTATCAAACAACAAAGTGGTTTATTATTGTCTCCAGTAATCGTTTGGCTGTTTTCTAATCAAACGTCCAAAACCCCCAAAAGTAATAAATTCCATGTTTGAGATGTTTTTTGCTTTAAAATGCACTTTAACAATCATCAAAAGAGTTGCAGATTAATTTCCTGTCAATCGATTAATCCGCTATAGTTGTTGAATGTATTACAACTCAATCAAAAGTTCAATTAATTCATCCCTAAAAAGTTCTCCCGTTCTAATTAACGGACTGATTATTTAAACCAAGGACATAAGATCCTTAATAAAAACATGAAGTTTATTCTATGATTCTGATTATTTTCACTTTGATTAATCCATCGATCACACTTTTCCTCGACCAAAGGTTACGTTCTTTACATTTTGTCAATAGTTCAAAGATATTTACGATAATATCATTAAGGTTTTTTAAATTTATTATAATATAGTTTTCAACATTCTGAGTATTCGTTTGTCGTTTTTTCAAGCCTCTTAAATGAGAATTCCCTTCTTTTGTTTTCCACGATAGTAAATTAAATATTTTCAGAGTTTGCACTTTAGAAAAACTGTGACCGACATTTTTTCACATTTTTTTTTTTTGTAAAAACAAGCTATTATTTTAGAAAAGAACGAGCTTAATAACTGATAATTAAATCTCTATCTATACAAGACAAAGGAAAAATGCAAAGTAATTACATTTTGTATGAAGAATAACTCAAAATGCTTTGACTTAATGCTTTTCATAATTGTAGCCTTCGTTGCTGTAACTCTTCCTGAAGCAACACTTTGCATTCGCCACTTTTTTATTTAATTTTTTAACGCTTTGTTCGCTGTCGTTCTAGAAAAATACGACTACGTCGGGAGGTTGCTGAAGCCGGGAGATGAGCCGTCGGAGTACACGGACGAGGAGGACATCAAAGACCACCTGAAGCACGACTGAGCGGTTCTCCATCACACCGACCAAAGCCAGGAGCCCCCAAACAGCTGCGACAGACCTCCACCTACCTGCCCCGTCCACCCACCTGCCCCCCCCTACTCCCCAAAAACTCTTCACCTCCTGGACCTGTCCGGTGTCTTCGTGGCTGCTCTGGAAGGACTCAAGTCTCAACGCCCAGACCTCCCTCCCTCTGGACCACCAACAGGAAGCGGTTGAAAACCTTTGGACGAGGGCTTTTTTTTTTTTTTAAATGACAGAAAACATGGACGTGGGGGGGCTGGTTTGTGCCATTTAGATGTATTTGAAACAAAACCACAAAATATTATTAGTCATTTCTCCAGAAGGCGGGGGGGGGGGGTCATGGGTGGATCGGGGATGGATTCTCTCTTTTTTTTTTATCTAGGGTTAGTCACGCCGCACCTGAAGCTGCTTCAGCGTCGGACAGCTTATCAATCAACCTGTCTGTTCTTTGTTTGAATCATTTCTCCCGTTCAGAGCGCAGCGCTGAGACCTGAGAACCAGTGCTGAGGAGACTGACGGGGCGTCACATCTTCCTGTTGTGTTTGTAGTGATCGCACTACTAGTTTTCTTTGTTTGTCACCATGTGATTGTATTTGTTGAGTAGCATAGAGGGAGGGGGGGGGGGGGGGCATTTTTTTTTGGGGGGGCTTAGGGGGGGTTTAAAGGTCTTTGCCATATGAAACCTGTTTTGAATGACGTTAGACAGACAGAATCACTGATCGGGAATACAAAGGGAATGTGATGACGGCAGTCCTAATCAATCGACTCAATTGTTTACATGCCTCACAAGCCGGCTGCAAGTCTGTAGATTCCCCTGAGAAATGGTCCAAGTATTAATTGTGCCTTATTTAGTTTGTGGCGTCGGTCCTGAGCGTTGTAACGGAGGAGGGATGGAGGTGTCGCTTTGCTTTCTAGACTCGGTCCCCCAAACGTCGTGTCAGTCGTCAGCACAGACAGTAATATTTCCCACTTCACAGACTTTGTAAATAGACCGTATGAATTACTCAGTGTTACTGCCATATTTATGTAGTTGATGAACTCCAGATATGTCTCATGCTATGTCGTACTGGCCAAAACCCCCACAGTTTGTTTTTTGTTTTGGTCCCCCCCCCCCATAAACAACAACAAAAGGAGTGTTCAAAGTGCTGCAGGGAGGGACCGGGAGCTGTTCTTGCGAGTTTTGTTCGGAGACGTTGCTTATCCTGTAAATATATCTATCATTTTATTAAAGCATGTGCAACAACAAAGTGAGCTATGCCGAATTCCCACCACGTCATGTATTTAAATGTTGGGTGTGTGTGTGTGTGTGTGTGTGTGTGTGTGTGTGTGTGCGTGTCTGCGTGACAGAGGCAGGAAGGGATTTGTTCATGCATAATAAATCGATTTGGTTAATAATTGAAGACGTCTGGAATTTATTTGCTTTTAGAGGTGGCGTGATTATTGTTGATTAACATGTTTTAAGTGTCCTCAGATGCGGAAGAACAAAGGTGCAAACATTAATATAGCATCAAACTCATCACCAGAGACATTATTACAGCACGTCTGTGTATTTACGTTTCAGTTAACTCCACATTTCAACAGTTGGTCATGATTTTGTGTTATTTTCTAACACAAACATTTGTTGAACTGAGCGGTAGTTTGATGTGTTTTTTCCTGTCTGTCTGCAGAGGAGAAGGAACAGAATGTACAAACGTCTCCGAGTCCGATTATTAACTCCAGATGTTCAGAAGCACAAACAGAAAAAATTACGGAAGAAAAGTTCAAACAGGGAATGAAAACTAGAAGAGAGGAAAGGTTTTGAGATTAATGGAAAACTTTATGTCCTGAATTCATCACTAATTATGGGCTTAAATATCATAAACAATGTGAGATTGTGAATTATTTGTATTTATGGGATATATAAATAAACACAAACTGGGAAATATATTTATAAATATGAGAAATCTTTTTGGGACCAAATTCATATTAAAAAAATGTAAAATAAATTGTATTTGGAAATCAATAAATGAATGAAGAAATTATAATTAAATTAATTAATAGTAAAATGTATACATCGGGAAATAATATGCAGATATTTTAATGTAAAAAAAGAAATAGGAAAATACAGATATAGCTAAAAACATTCTGTGACATATTTAAATACTCAAAAAAGGAAATAAATAAGAAAGTTAACCTTCTGGGAGAAATAATTCAATCATAATGGGAGTAATAAATACATAGATGAACAAGGAATTAAATAAAACTAAAAGTGGCAAAAATTATTTTTACAAAACAGGGAAGTAATTCATAAACAGAGGCGTTATAATGTTTTGTGCCAGTTTATATTCTCTTTAAAATATATATTTTTTGTATTATTCCCTTTAGGGTCAGACCAGAATCACAGAACACTAATAATCACTACACAGCTCAACAGCGCTCCCACTGGCGCTGCGGATGATCTCGGAACTGCACCATCTCACAGTGGTGTGTTTGTGCGTGTGTATTTAAGTGAAACTAGTCGCTGCTTCATCTCGGCCATCACAGCAGCGAGGAGCCGCAGAGGATCATCTCTAAAGACCCGGAGCAGGGATGCGTTTCCCCCGCTGATGATCCGTCGACCATTTCAGTGCATCGCTCCTGAACACACCACCGGCATCTTGGCTGTTTTTGAGCTTTAAAAATCGGATAATTTTAGCAGCTTTTCCGTGCAACAGCATCGGGAGAGTGTTGATCCGAGAGACGGTGTGTTTTGTGCAAAGTTGCGTGAATTGCTCCGGTTATTAACGCAGTTTTGATCCGTGCTTTGCAGGATAATGGCAGAGCATCTGTCCCAGAGTGAGCTGGACTACCCGTTCAAACTTCTGGAGTATTTCAACGGCTTCAGGGTCTCAAAGGTAACGTTTGTTTATTTATGCACTAATGTGTCATAAAATGTCCCCAAAGCAAAAGTTGCACATTTTCATATTGTCTGTTTTTTGTCCCTAAAACCTAAAGATATGTTGTGCAATATCGTAAAAACAAACAAATTAAAATAGTACTTAAAAAACAAGTACACTAGACTTTTGTTTGTGTTTTGCAATTGACTTCAGGGTCATTTGTCATTCAGCAGTTATTTGTTTTAATCTTAAATCATTTTATATATATA